CCCCTGAGTCCTAACAATGCTATATTAGAAACTAACAAACAAAATTTATCCTGAGGATACAAATGCTGTTTGTAAATTACTTCTGTAACTTCTGAATTCTGATATGGTGCTATAGGCTTTTCAGCAAGGCTCCAAAGTAGATTACTGCATGCAAAAAAAAAAAAAAAAAAAAAAAAAAAAAGTATTCAGTAGTCACTACTACACAAGTACTACAGATCAGGAGAGGATTAAGGCACAGATAGCCAACCTAGCTTCTGCAATTTTAGATGTTGCCATGACTAGCTGTTAATCACCATCCTCTAAGATGTCCTAATAGATTACATGAATGTTTTTACACATGCATGAAAGCAAAACCTACAGTGTGAGTTTTTTAACAACATGCCTTGGAAAAGGACTACTGCCATAATCTGCTGCTGCTTAAGTGCTGGGGCAATAATCCCTAGCTGAAGAGTGATTGATAACAGCCAGAAGAAGGCAACACCTTAAATCACAAAAGCTTTCTCAGGTGATTGTCTATCTACACCATTATGGATTACTAGTCAGAATCTTTTTTGTATTCATCTATGGTGAAGTCTGTCTCTGCTTCCATCTTCCATTTCACTTCTTTGGAAGGGAGATTCACTCACCAGAGATTTCTGTAAGGGAAATTTTTTAAATAATAGTTTTCAAGCTCCTGTCTGTAGATTGTCAGTGTTTTGTGGTTGTTTTTTTTTGTTTTGTTTTGTTTATTTGTTTTTTCTTTTACAGGTTTCCCCAGTTTTTATACACAGAATGAATTATATACAGAAAACAAGATGTTGTGGAATGCAAGGGATAAGAGAAGAATGAATGCATATGGGAAAGGTTAGCAGGATACATTTCACATTTCATACAACACTCCATGAAAACGCTAGAGCCAACTGATTTAAGAGATATTATTGTCAAGCTGAAACCTAGTTAACTGCAAAATTTATTTTTAATTCAGCTAGGTATTTTACAAGTGTCTGTCTGAACAAATTCATAGCTTTAAAATATTTTCTACCATTTAATTCCTTCTGCCACTGAAGCATGAAAGATGCGCATGAACCTCAGGGAAAATTATATTTTAGGAAAATTGATTACACACTAAGTCTAATCAAGGATACAATGCAACCAAACACTGAAAACCTTTAAAACATTATAATCTTAGCCATTACTTGCAACCGTCACCAATTTAGTATGTTTGGATTTAAGTGTAGTTCTTAAAATTGTCTCTTTCCTTTAAATCACCTCCACTGTGGGTGCCTACTGGCTACTACTAACATCACCAGCAGACCTGTTAAAGATACAGGACACACCATTAGCAATAGCTTGAAGGCTGCATAATTATCAAACAGCACCATGGTGTGTAGGAGAGGTCTCTGTACCATTTATGCTCACAGCCTTCCACACAGAACAGGAACAGATACAGATGTTAGGGTGAAACAACTTGAATCCATTCTCCTGTGAAGTTACCTCTGCAGCAGGGACTTGCAGAATATATCCCTTCCTTCTCTTCCTCTGGACACGTTTGTGAACATGAGCTTTGCAGTTCCTGGATGCTATGTGATGCCCACATCCCAAAGCTTCATTGAAAACAGCAGTGGAGACAGTTCAGGCCTGCTGTACATATCAGGTTTAAATACATCAAAATCAAGTTTGTGTTGGAAAGTGAGAAATATATTTTTTGACCCTTCTGATGGCAGATTTGCCACTGGGCTTTGTAAAGCCTCTTTAATATCAATTACAGAGCAAATGAAAGCCTCTCTCATCATTTTATTTCAATGATTGTTCTGTTCACTCCACCTCCCCATTGTCCTTTATGCCACAGGCCTCCCACCTTTACTTTTGGGTGTATGGCTCCTTGCCTTGACTTCCTGCATGACTTCTTCAGCCAGGCAGGGCACAGCAGTTCGCATCTTTCTTCAAGTGCCCAAGTCTCAATCAGCCCGGGTCTCTTCTCTAGCTGAGGATCTGATGTCAAGCACTGATCTGTGAAGTCATGTTCTCAGGCTCAACCACTCTGTCTGTTATTTCACAACGTAGCTCAGAAGCATCTTATGAAGATTTGGGAAACTCCATTATAGCCATACAAGTGAAATGGTGTGGGAACAAAATGGGAACTCTACTCATAATGTATGTGGTAGACCTTCACATCATTTTTGCCATTCCAGCTTTCCAGCACAGGCCATTTTCTGTCTTTAATTATTGCATTTTATCATTTTTCTATTCTCTCTTCTCTTTGTTTTCTCCCCTTAAATTTTTATTAACCAAGGGACCCCATTTGAGATGCTTGCCTTTAGGCACTGCTGTGCATTGCAGATGATGTAGCAGCATTTTAAGGAATCACAGCAATATTTCCATATTAAATACAAATCCTAATTAATTCCCACCATTTGTCTGCTGTTGAGATATGGCAATTCACTGGAAATTATTTGCCAAAAGCAAATAGATTTGTCACACCTTTATTAGAGAGGACTTGTTGTTTGTGATTGGTACAGAAACAAAAGAGTTGCCTGACTAGAGTTCCCATAGGCAAAATACTTTGGTTGTGTTTTAACATAAATAGCATGCCATAAAGGAGCATCCACATTTTCCCTTAGAGCAGTGTTTCCTTTCCATTTGAATTCTGCAGAAATATCACCAACTCAGATTTTGAACTCACTGTAGAAAGTTTTTTTTTCAATTTTAAACTGGAGTTTGATATATCCACTATCAATCAAAGCACTTTATATACACAAAACATTGGAGAATGAATGACACATTAGTGTGAGCTTGTGACCTATGCTTCAACTGCACCAATGCCCAGCATACTACAACTCGTCATTTTTTAAACAGCAAAATCACGTTGCAAGTTGTGCATTCCATCAGGGGTCAGTGCCATATTTGTGGCAACAGACTCATAAAGGAAACAAGCTAAGATCCCAAAATCTGACAGGAAAAAAATTCCTGCTCAAATGGAAGCTGAAATGCAGACTGAATGATATGCCAAAGTTAATGTGCTAAATACAGATCCTTGAAACAGCATCATTAAAATTTACAAGGCAGTACAGAATGTGGAATCCTATCTAGCTAGCCTGCACTTTCCCTGGAGGTCGCTTAAGAATCCCTCCAAATGAAATGTCAGTGTTCCTTGTATGACTAACAGGACTTTAATACTGTTCAAAGCCATCATGAAGAGATCCTCTCTTGACAGGTCAGAGTTCCCTATTGGGTAGCCAACAGCAAACAGCTTTTCATCAATTAGATGGGGAAGATGTTATTTTATCTTGGGGACATACTCCTTTTTTACCAGTTCCTCAGCAGAAGGCACATACATTCAGATATAACTCAAGCAAACCATCCCTAGTTTGTGAAGGGCTCAAGCTAAAATGCGTAGGACATTTCTAAGGAAACTGGGCATGACTGAATCAACAGCCAGACATTCTTCTCACACAAAAGATTTTCCTTCTTTCAGTTCAAACCAGACTGAGTGATCAAAGCATTGCTTTTGCCACACATAAACTCAACATGAATGTTTTCTATTGAGATTTGAACATCTCTAACTGACTGTTTCCATATTGCTACCTGAGAGATTGGATGATTATTATTTTCTTGATTTCATATTGTACTTTGAACTTTTTGGATGAAAGTCCAAAGTCTCAGCACCACAAACGCATGTACAGAAGCTACTCACAAAATGCCTTTCATTAAAAGGACATTACACAGCTAGCCAAGTGATTTTTCAGTACAATCCTTTGAGATCTTTCCTCTTGTTTTTCACACTGATATTCTTCTAACAAATTTGTCCTAGTACCCAATCCTGTTGATACCTCAAATGGACTTGCCCCAGAGACAAATAAAAATTATCCAAAACAAACTCAACTCCCCCCCGCTTGCAATCCTTAAGTCTTATTTTGAATTTTTTTCTTATGCATATGTTCTCCCAAACATGCCTTTCAAAAATCTGAACAATTCAATACATTAATAATAACAAAAACAATATATTAACAGGGACATGACCAGAGCTTATTGTAAATTGATTTCCAGGTAATTCTGAATGATAGAATTATTATATTTGGTAAACTTTTTAATTTCCCAAAGAGAAATAATGAAAGAAAATAATAAAAGAAATTAACATAATACAATCAAGTTACAATTTTGTCAGATATTGTGCTTAGGCTTTGCTGTGGCTGTGTTTAAATGATACAAAGAACATTCCATGCAATGTACTGAATTAAAACAATTCTTTAAGAGAAACACAACTGAAAAAAATCTGCTCTTCCACACAACAATACAGCTGACATCTTGAGGCCCCTTCTACACCTATTTTCTTTAATTCTGTGTTATGTATACCATTATAAATATCTTTAGTGATAGGCATCTCATGTTTGCAGAGTGCAAAACATCTTTTTAAATATGCTATACAATAAATTTACATTTCTGTAAAGACTTCTTAAAGCTATATTACACCTAATATCTATTGGGAACCTGCACGTTTGTTGGAGCTTAGTGGGACTGATTACCTGTCTTTATAAGGCCAACAGACTTGCACATCTGTGATTACAGGATCAAGGAGCTTTGGGCATTAAAGTTTCCACAACTTCTCCACGTATTTTCAATAGACTTTTTCATGGAAAAGACTCTGTGAGAGCATTTTTTGTTCTTGCCAAAAGCATTAAATCAATTTTACACTTTTTTTCTCCTTTTTATTTTATTTTTTTTTCACTTAGCTGGTGGAACAGGTGAATTCAGTCTTTCCACTAAGTTCCTCAGATGGCAGGATTCTTCTGGTATGCATATCAGCATGCATAAGCACGAGATTTATTCTACCCAGTATACAACAAAGGTCAGAAATAAAAATGACCCTCCCAAACATTTTAATTTTATTTTTAGCACTTCAGTTCCGCTATAAAAATTCAACATTAAGTCTTATCATAATAAAGATTGGAAAAACTTTTCAGTCCAAATTTCAGCTATTAAAAATTGACCTATCTATAAAGATTTTCTACAAGAAGCAAGGGAAAAGGGAAAACAGTTTATGTACTCTAATGAGTAAAAGAGAAATGCTTTCAAAGAATACCAAGAGCATGTGACAGAAAATTGGTTTTCTTATCCATTTTCATATTTTTTTCCAGTGTCACAACTGCATTTACCACTGCAAGAATTTGCTTCAGTGAAATAAAAGCTGTAGCCCAACTCCTTAACAGTAAGGATCTTATTGAAAAAGTAGGTTTGTTCTTGGTGAAAGATGAAGACCAAGTAATGCAAATTTATAATATATCCCGCTTTCACTAAATGGAAATAATAATTAATGCTCACTAATTTCAAGCTGAAATCAGGCATCAGAAAACGTTACATAAATTACAGCTAATAAAGAACTCACAAACAAAACTGATTTATCAGTTGGTATGCAGAAGCTACATACAGTTGAGCAGATATACTTTCCCACAAAGATACTCTGTCAGGATTAAGAGGCATTTGCATTTTCTGTCCAGACAGCTGGTGTACTCCACAAACCACAATTGGGCTGGCTTACACCAAGGTTTGGCCCAAGTATACAACAGCATCCGTGAAGACTTTGATCACTACTGTGTCACAGTTTGCACAAATGTGACTAAATCCCAAAGCCCTTATGAAGAGAACATTTATACTGATATTACAGTTTATCTAGTAAGGATTTAAGAATCAGCTACAGCAATACACTATTCCACTAGCCATAGATGTGGGAATGTATAACATACATTCAAATATGGCACTTACATAAATCCTAGAGATACATCTTACCTATATAGCATGATGTTACAAGATTCATAAAAAATAGAATTAAACTGTAGATTAGAACTCATCATACTTTCAAGCCCATCAAAGAGTGGAAGTAGTACTACAATACCTTCATCTACTGAAAACTTGTAGGATAGACTGCAAAGATGTAGGCAGCTACAGATCCCATTCACCCTTTCTGCAATTGCCACTGATTAATACTTCTCAAGTTCAGGCTCTGTATCTTTTCCCTTTGTTTCTCCATAACACATATCATGAAAACAGAAATAAGAGTGTGAAGAGGAGATGACTGGTTCAGACAAGGCTCTGCAATATGCATGTTGAAGCATATTCTATTTATCACTATTCCTAATGAACTGCTTTATCTATGTACTGCCTGAGCTAATCAAGGGTGATGCTGGAAGGGTCTGGCTTATCTCTGCACTGAGGAATGCCAAAGTTGCCACCATGGATAAATTCTGAGATGACACATTTCCAAGATTTCTCTTAACTCTCCACAGTCCACCAATTCCTAAATCTGGAATCATCCTGGGCAAGGAGAGGTGACTTATAACCAGCAATTTTGAAATTTCAGTGGACACTGAAGTGATGGAGGAAACTCTTACCACAGAGCTTTAGAGCCAAGGTACCTGTGAACTACTGCCTCCCTAGTAGTCATCTGTTGAGCATATTCTTAATCACTGCGTTGTCCAGACATGCTGTTGCAATATCTCCAATGATTTGGATGTTTAGATGAGCATCCCATGCTGTCTCATTCTGATTGCAAAGTTAAGCCCTAATCAGAAATGCCTGTCTAGTTCAAAGAATGTATTCCTGTCTCAGTATATAATAAATTGCACTCATGTCAACACACAATGATTACACAGCCCCTGCATTTCAGCTGACTTAATACCTAGTGAATCCTATTGCCCTTTTGAGGTAAAACATATTTTTCTATTATGGCACATGTTAAATATATACACTAACACTACAAAAACAAACAAACAAACAAAAAAGTGCCCCAAACACATAGGCTGAGATACTTGACTACAACTTATTCATATTAGTCCTTGCTCGGAGTGGGATGCTATTGTTCTATGGAAAGTTGTACTATATTAATCATGAAGTCATCTCAATATACAATCTATAATATATCTAAGTACACTGAATTGGTATGATTTCCTGTATAAACCTTCAATTAAATATACTTGTCTAACAATGTCACCTCACATGTTTGTCAGAGATTGGTAAAAATATATATGTATGTATCCAAGTCTCCCAGTGCACAGGATTCAGTGATTAACTTTTAAACTCTGCTGCCAGGCTTTAAGTTCAAACATTGGTTCTTACACTGAACTTAGAGGATTATTTTCTCATTACAAGGGAGAACAGACTTCTAGAAAACTTCTTGACGTGCACCCAAAATGCAAGAGAAATAACTCCAACATGGCCCACATTACAGCGCCCAGATTAGGGTAACAAGCCAGGTTACTTGCAAACTGTAAATAAAAAGTTAAGGAAGAAACTTCACAGACTCATACAGCCAAACATCAAGCTGTCAAAGAGTTGGCTCCAGCTCATCTGTTATCTTCTTCACAATGCTACATGGTTTATGCTAAATCACAATTCTAAGCCACAAAGTTAGTTGGAAATAAATTCCTATATTTAGGAAATACTTGACTGGTTACAGCATCCCCAAGTTCTTATAATCCCTCTTTATCTTTGCACATTACTGAGCATTGCAGAGAATATACTGTATATTGCAGTCAATATACTAGCTGCAGTATGGCTTCCTACAAGAAGGACAACATTTAATTGGCTTTGATACTTTTTCTTGTCCGGTATGTGTTTCTCTGTGTGTGTGCACGCAAGTGTGTGTGCATGCACATTTTCTACGCTTTTGTACGGTGCACTTCACTGACATATTTAGTAGTCACTCATAGTTTCTGCTTACCATAACTTAGAAAGTCAAAGTGGAGGATTATATTGTATTTACAAACAAGTTGGCACTTACAGAATAAATTATTGATTCCTATTTTTAATTATTTTCCTTCTTTCTTCTCTTCTTTTTCACCCCAGGGCATCCAGAATTCAGGCAGAATAGTAAAATCTTCTGCCTGCTTCCATTATGCTACATAAACATGAGTAAATACAATTCCAGCTGGCACACTCTTTCCCAATGGTTTGCTTGTTGCTGAGTGCCTTCCACTCCAGTTCATGTTTGATGCTCAGGAACTGTTAGTCAAGGGAAAGCAAAGGCTGCATGTTTTCTTCTTCATTCTTATCCATGCGTTTTAGCACCCCAGGATCCACCACTGACTGAGACCTGCAGAAGGGCGACATGCTTATTTGACATTTCTAGATGAAAACAAATGAAAATAAATCTCAGCTTTCTTTTGTTTTTCCTTCCTTTCTGCCAGGGCTTAAAAACAATGATACTGTTACATTGAGCATCCAATCATCACAAATGATCAGAAAATGCTCTTAAAGAGTGGATACGTGCTTTTAAAGAGCTCTGTGTTGGTTTGTGGAAATACGGGCAAAAAGTGCAATAAAATAAATCCTCCTTTCTTCAGTGAAGGAGCAAGTGAAGCGCATCCTTAGCACACAACAAAGAGCAAACTAAGCTGTCTTTTATATTGACGTAAGCACTGACCTCCTCTACCAGAAAGCAGTTGTCCGGTAAAGAAGGTATAATTCAGCCACCCAGCTGGCTAACGGCATGCTGCAATTAGTGGCATGTATTAGCTAGAGGCATATTTGTTCCCTTTCTGAACAGCACTTAATGCAACAGAGCATGCTCCTAAGCCAACCCTGGAGAAGCCTGCCATAGCCAGCAGGATTTCTGGAGCAGTGGACACATCTGTCAAACTCGCCTGTCAGCTTAGTTAAACACAGCAGAAAAGGATGGCAAAAGGGCGAATTCAGTGATGATTGTAAATCTTTTCCAGACTCTCTGATTCAGCACAGAAGCATGACACTGGTATGGATACTATGCAACAGCATTTTGTGAGGGAGAAAGAAGCCCCAGCCTCCAGCAAAATCAAAATATTCTGTTGCAAACAAAGCCTGAAGTGGTAAGAATGAGTCTCACATCATGTCACAAGCTTGTCAAAAAACTGACACTTCTAGGGTACAATAAAAGAAACATTTGATAGATGTTTCCATTAAAGTGTGATGAATCTAATGCTAGAGATGTAAATTTCTCTTCCTTCCTGCAAAGAGGACTTGATATGGCTAGAGTATGTGTGCATCTCAATAACGTAGGCACACATTTTTGATCAGAAGAAGCACTACAAGTTTGCCCACCTGAAGGTCTACAGTACAGAGAAAAATCTTTATCAATTTAAGATAAAAACATATTATCGGTATCCTACTCTAGAATGATCCCCTGAAGCCAATGAATGAGTCTGCTTGCAGGAGTTGATTTGTTTTTTCTCAAAAACTATAAGAAAAACATTTAAAAAAACAAACAAGGAAAAACAACTGAGTCAAACTTTATGTGAATTCTTGAAATACAGGGATATTTTTGAACAGTAATTATGCTCTTACCGGTGCTACAGTCAAGAAAATCAACTTTGAAAATCTGATGGCCTCTCTTGTGATAAACACAATTAAAAATTTTTAATTAATACTGTACAATAACTGTCATCTAGAATGTTAGTCAGCTCAACAGGCAAAAAGTTAAACCAATGAATTGAAAAAGCTTCTTTAAAATCTGCACGGGTACTGTTCAAAGCTGATTAAAAATTTGCTGGTGGGAAACTGTACTGGAAAATCTAGTTCATCAAGATAAAAAATGCTGTGGGAGCATACTAATTTCAAAGAATTCCCAATTGAATCTAAGTACTAATAGCAGACTGAGCAGTCTTAGGATGCCAATATCTGAGACACCAAAGTTTCCATTTCTCATCTGTGGAACTAAAGGAGAGATGAAAAGTCCGCAAACCTGGACTCAAATTCCCAGGGAGGCAGTAATGACCATAAATTCTCAGGGCCTCCAAGCTTCCCAATTCCAAGGCAGATGTGAAAATGAAACTACACAAATCCTGACCTAGGGCTTGCAAGCTCAGGGGAACAAATTCCTTGTAGAAGAAGAAGAAATAGCTTTCATTCCGTTTAAATCAACATTTACTGTCTTCCAATTCAGCAGCAATTTATGAACAAAGTCACATAAAAGGGAAAGTATTTATGTAAATCCGTAACATCTTTTATTTCTGTCTCCCAAACAACTTTACAGACATTGTTGAATATATTCTCACAAATCACAACAGGACAGAGTCCCATTGTAGAGGCAAGGAACCAAAGCTATACAAAGATAATGTGCAAACTTGGTTAACTCAGACATCTGCCCTGTGGAGTTAGATGTGCAGATCCTTGTGACCCCATCTGAATGCCTCAGCCATGAGAGCCATGGGTATACATAGCCACAAACTAAATATGATTACTGAGACAGCTGCAGCAGTGTCACAATGTGAAGGTGTTCTCATAAGAGATTTGCGCTATTTGGTGGGGTTAATTTCTCCTTATCTCCAGCAATCGAGCCATGATCAGCCTTTTTTTCAAGGAGAGGTCATCCAGTTTATCCAAAGTTCAAGCAGATCTTAAGGAACTTCAGTGGTTCACATAGGGGCAAAAACGAAATAAAGAAATGAATTCTTAGCATTATCTTGGTTTATGAATGAGAATGTTTCAAAGTGGAAAGTTGATTCTAGATTGCCAAACCAAATTAAACAAGCTAACTGTTGGAGATTTGTTACTCTTGTGAAATTTTTCCTATGAACTCAAGCACTTTCATTGACCTACCTCATGTTTTCAGATGTCCTGTTTCTGCAGTAACATACCACACTTAGTGTGGTTTTAAACAGAGAGAAATATAATCTGTCCAATATCCAATTCAAGTTAAATTTAATTTAAAATTTAATAGTGTTTATCTCTTTCTACCTATCTTAACTTTTTTATTTCTATTTTTAAAATGTTTGTGCAGCTAATGCTACAAAATTGTGGGATTTTGTCCAGAATCTTGCTACCATTCCCTTCTACTTGGTACTATCACAGTAAGTCTACTTAGTACTTTTTATATCCAGCAGCTGGGAAGGAGTATTTCAGCAGGTACTGCAGATATGCTAACTGAAAATGAATATAATGATGGTGAGGAAATTTCAGCCAAATATAACATCCAATTTTCAACATCCTTATTTTCTGCAATAGGTTTCCTACTGTATCAGCTAGCCCAGATTGAAAGAATATCTGACAGTAAACTGCAGATCAATAAGAAGTATACAATGAAGTATTAGTCTGCTTGAAAGACTTTTCAAGCACCAGTTAAATGAGAAGAAAGTAGGTATGCTTTCTCCCCTTAAAGAAAGAAAAAGAATCTGTCAATTTGCTGCTTTTCCAAAGTACTTCTTCAGAGTAGTCTGGAAAACTCTGCTTCATAGAGTCTTGTCAAAGGATTGCTCATGGGTCCTTCCTGCATCCTTGGATGAGGCAACTTCCTCTCATGACTTAATTGCATCACTAAGAATTCCATATTTCAGCTCCTACATTCCACCCATCTTTCCAAGTAAGCTTCTCATAATTCTTGTTACAAATAATTCTACATACGTACAGTTGTTACATAATTCTAAGTACAAATTGTATATATCACTCATTTTCCTGCTCTCCCCTTGCTACTCTTTCCCTGTCCTATTTTCTCAAATACTTGTGGTAGTATTTTTTCTCAAATACGTTTTCATATGGATTCAGGATCTTTTTAAACTTTACTTATTCCTAGTTGATTCCCAGCCAGGCTCTTAATATTTCCCACTTTCAATGTATTTTAGATTTCTGACATAAAATCTTTAAACTTCATTGTTGGGTTTTTGTTGTTGTTGTTGTTGTTTTGTGTTTGTTTGTATTTCTATGGCAATCTTCTCCTCTCCATTTCCTAAAAAATATATCTCTTTCAAACTGCACTGTCTTAACAAGTCTTTAAGATATACTCCAGCCAACATCGTTTTCCTGGCTGACAAGTCTAAAAATATTTTCTCCTGTTTGACTTGCTCCCAAATTCTCTCTTCCTTCTGTATCAAATGCCAAGTTCTGAAAGTGAATTCTCAAGTTAGCATATTCTAACTTAATTTGAAAGAATTTATGTAGATTCTCTGTCCCATATGTTCACTGCTAGGCTTAACCAGTATGAATTGGTCAGCCTCTTTTGTCTAGTAACTACTGATAGGACAAGAGGCAAAAATTAATACTTTGGATTATAGTCAAGAGTCTTCTTCAGGAAAAAAAAAGTCCTTATACCTAATAAGCTGAGGAAACTACCAACAGGTTCATAAACAAGGAACATAGGAAGTTCCATACAAACATAGTGAAGAATTTCTTTACTGTGAGAGTGCACTGGAACAGGCTGCCTAGAGAGGTTGTGGAGTCTCCTCTGGAGATAATAAAGACCTATCTGGATAACTACTTGTGTCCTCTGTAAGGACCTTGCTTTAGCAGAGGAATGGACTCAATGCTCTCTTATATGTCCCTTCCAACCCCTACAATTCTGTGATTCTATGATTTTGTGAGAAGGCAAATATTAACCTCATGGCAATATGAGGTTAACATATTAGTATCTTTAACCCACCTCTTCATGGACTTAGGAGAGAGGTCCTTTTCTATATCTTTTGCTGGAGTATTGTAGGAGTCCGCATTGCATTCACTGTCATCATCATATTCGTGGTCTAGCAGTGTTCTTGCCCATGTCCCCATGTCATATGGGGGCAACATTCCTCCAAACTCTGAAGGCAGGATCTCAGGATGTATTAGCTGATGTAGACTGTTGAGGTTATTACCATGAAGGAATATCTGTATTTATATAAAAAGATAAAAACAAAGCAGTATCACAAAAATCATCAAAGCCCAAATTACATCATCATTATTACAGAATATTGTACAGTTCCAATTTTATGCCTATGTTGGGCTAACAGCGATAGCCACCAAGACACACATTACTTTTACCTTCAGTACAGTCAGACAACATTCATATACCTACAAAGCAATTAAAGCATTAATGTTTGCAGGACAAACAACCTAAGGATTGTATGAACTAATGCTGACTAACAAGACAGACAGAAGTCAAGACAGACAGACTGCTTATCTTTTGTAATTTGTTTCTCCTAATCCTGAGAATTAAGTACATAAATTAAGCACATAATTTATTAAATAAAATTAGCATTCATTATATACATTAAGGAATATATATTGACTTCCAAGCATTCAGCCTTGAGTTATATGAAAAGAAAATAAAAAGGACAAACAAGAATATAATGAAGAAAATTTCTTCCTTTTGTTCATACATGGCAAGCAACGAAGCAAGTAATAACAGTAAAATACCTTCAGTGACAACAAGGAAATTCCTGATGGACTATTTGATATTGCCCATCAGTATTTTTATTGACTGATTTATTTTCAGATATGCTTTACATTTACATATACATAGTGTATGTATACAATATGCACATATACCTACACTGACATTAATACTTCTGTTTATATTTAACCTCGTTTCTCCTCAGAAATCTGCAACAGGTGATCAATGAGTGCTAAAAATGGAGAATCTCTGGATTTGGATAGCCTTCTCCCACTTTGGAAGATCTGTAGACCTTCCATTGAGAGGATATGCCTTCTCTTGGGTGTTTCACAGATTTCTAGAGAAGCAAAAAGGCCAGGATTCACTTCTTGCACCAGGAGCAAGTGCTACGGCACAGTTTACATCCACAGAGTTAAATTCCCTTTATCTCCAGAACAGAACTCATCAGCAGTATTTACTGGACTTTGAATTGTTCCAAGGCAATGTCTAAGAGAGTGCTAGCTGGCACTGGCCAGTGCCACGCCAGAGAGTGCTTGTACAATTAAACAGTAGGAATGGCAGAGCCCAATCCTCTTTTAATTGACTTGTGCAGAAGCAGCCAAGAAGGCAAGGGAAGTTATTACTCATACCGCTGCCTCTTGCTCTCCATGGGGAAGACAGGGTGTGCATGTACATGGAGTACTACCAGTTCACATCCTATTTCACCTTGCAAGGACTTCTCTGGGGAGCTATACCTTGATTTATCAAATGTTAAATTCAAAAGGCAGACAGACATAAAAGAAAAAGGCAAATATATGCTTGGTTGTGGGACATCTCTATACCTCAAGTGGAAAACTGATGCTTTAATGGGAGTGAGTAAAGATAAAGAAACAGTCATAAATTTTGTCATCTTCCAGTCAGCTGCATAGGTAGAAAGCTTAATGTAAACATGCAAATACAATATTTCTTTCTCAGAAAGGAATTATCTTTGCGTGATAGAACAAATATTAATAGCAAAAGCAATTTATTTTATGGTCATTTTCAAACTGGATGTTTCAATATTTTAGCAATTGCTTTATATATGTTGAGTACTAGATTTATCTCAATGCAATTATCAGTTGCAAATCTACCAGACCTTCCAAAAATTGCAAAAATAAGTCAGGAAATATATGAAAGATAAATGATGAGATCTTGATACACTTCTGAAGATAATTCTGTGGGATTATTTTTTTTTTTCTCACAATAATTTGTTCTCTTTCTTCTGAAAAATAAACTTTATTAACTGCAATATTTAGCTATCTGACTACTGGCAGAACTGACTAAGAATTAACAAAAACTCTTGTAAAAAGTCTGCATTTGCACAAGTGAAGAGCCACTGATATCATCTATCTGGACTTCAGTAAGGCTTATGATACTTTGTATCCCACAACATCCTTCTCTCCATATTGTTAAGATATGGATTTGATAGGTAGACTGTTCAGTGAACAAAGAAGCAGCTGCAAGATCAAATTCAGAGACTGGTGGTCAGTGGCTCAGTGTCTGGATGGAGATCAGTGAAGAGTGGTGTCCTACAGGTGTCAGTGCTGGGACTGATGCTCTTTAATATCTTCATCAATTACATCAACAGAGGGATCAATTGCACCCTCAGCAAGTTTGCTGATGACACCAAACTGTGAGGTGCAGTCAACACTCCAGAGCTACAGGATGTCATCCGGAGGGCCCTAGGCAGGCTTGAGCAGTGAGCCCAGGCGAACAAATCCAAATGCAAGGTCTTGCACTTGAGTCGAGGCAACCCCCACACCAATACAAGCTGGGGAATGAAAGAATTGAGCACAGTCCTGCTGAAAAAGACCTTGGGGTACTGGTGGATGGGAAGCTGAACATGAGCCAGCAATATGCCCTCACAGCTTAGAAAGCCAACCATATCCTAGGCTGCATCAAAAGAAGTGTGGCCAGCAGGTCAAAGCAGGTGATCCTGCCCCTCTACTCTGTGCTGGTGAGACTCACCTGGAGTACCATGTCTAGATGTGGAGTCCTCAGTACAAGGAGAGACACAGACCTGTTGGAGCATGCATCCAGAGGAGTACCACAAAAATGATCCAAGGGATGGAACACCTCTCCTATGAGGACAGGCTGAAAGAGCTGGAGCCACCAGCCACTGATTCAGATGTCTCAATAAATATTTAGATACCTGATTATTGCACTGCCTTGTTGCTTATTTTTAATCTTGTAACAAATCCAGGAGGTGTACTGTACTGCCTGGTTGTAGATAGATGGTCCTTGACTTAGGCCTCAAACATATCTGGCACTGTATTGTTCTGTGTTGAAGCTGTAGTCAGTTGAGTGTAACTGAATCCTGCAGAATGAGTTTTCATTTGCATATTTATAACAGATATTACATAAAAACCTTTGTAATCTATAGTTCAAAATCTGTGAATACAAAGGCCTCTAATGCAAAATATCAGTAAAAAATAGGTAAACACCAAAGAACATTGTAGCCTTGTAGACTGTTTGCAGAGAAAAAAACAGAGCACCTTAGAGAACTGAGCCTGTAAGCGAACAAGCAAAAAGTATCACCACATTCTTTGTAATGATTTTGTATGGAATGCTATGTTTTGCTGGATGACAAATTTCCTGTTACAGAAATAATATCATTCTATGTGCCACCAAGCTGTAACTTAATTGCACTGATGCAAATGCTGCAAATTAAGCAACATCTGAGAGACTGTGCTTATGCACAGACACACGTGCACCTATTTCCTTTCACTGGCTTTAACTCAAGTGACTATTTTCTAGCTACTGTGCACCAACTGTGTATTTTAGTTTATATTAATGTGAAAGAAATCACTAGGAAAATACTTGGTATTCAATGTGTCTATCATAAATGAAAGACACAAATCATTCCAAAATTTTATTGCCACAACTTTCGTATAGAAATTGCAATGCTGACAATACCATTATATAACCCAGAAGGAATGATATGCTTGAATGTAAAAATACATTTAAAACCACTGTTTACAGTGTCCCTGAAAGATAAAGTTACAGGTTTCTGTAAAACAGGTAAAGAAGGTTTTTACAATGCAATTAAAAACTTTCCACTAAGAACAATCTATTTATATTACAATACGTCTGCTGACTACAATGACCAGATAATGGAAACTGAAAAAAAAAAGTATACCCTTTTTCGTGTCTTCTCCTTTAAAAAGGGCCGTATAACTGTGTAGAGGGCATGAATATACCATGGTTGATTGACAAAATGTATTCCTCCAAACCGAGCTGGAAAACTGTCCTGTACATGAGGAAAAAAAAAAAAAATAGATGCAATGTGAGTTAACTCCTAATAGAAGTAGTACACACATGTATCAAATATATATATTTTTTAAATGCTGAATGCTTTTATTTTATAGCTTAAATGAAAAGAAATATTTTTCAAAAAAAGTGTCCTTTCAGTGTGTGTCAGCCTTCTATACCAAGGAGCAACACATCCAAGGAGCAGACTGATTGAGAACTGTGATGAAACAGCAATGACATTCAAAAAACAAGAATGGACACAGTCTTTCTAACCTCTAGAAATGCTCTGAACATACATCATTTGTCCATATTTTATCAATGCAATATATTTTTCTCCTTCCCACTTCTTTGAAATTTTATTCATTTTATTTACTTATCACTACCAGTGTCACTAAAGAGCACTGGAAATGTCCCTCTGATTTCCACTACTATTAAAAATCTCTCCAGTATTATTCATATTTCACAAAACTGAGAATACATTATATGTATTGCATAAATGTGTTATGCAATATCCAGGACCATAATTTTTCTCATGTTGGCAGAAGCCTTCTGGGAACTTAAATGCATGGATAGAGTATCTGTATTGAAGAAATGACATTTTTTTCTTATTGAAAAACACAAAGGGTAGATAACTTCCTAGTAAAGTTTCTGATTTGCATTTTCAGTTTCTAAGTGGAGAGAGTATGCCAAAGGATTTGGCAGTCTGAAGAGGGCAGACACTCTGTCCTGGAATACTATTGCCAAACTCATCACATGTCCTGATTTTGTCTTTGTCTGATTGATCATATGCTCAAACAATGCAATAAACTGCTGCTGCTTCCCATATTGCCTAGACTTCAGGCATCAGATTTGATGAAAGCTCCTTTTTTGTTTCCCCAGGTTATGTCAGAACCTTTACTGTGTTAGGTATACAAGTTTACTAAATGAATGGCCTCCTTTTGAATCTTTATTCAACATATGGTCCATATCCAGGCAATCATGATAGTCACTTATATCAAAACCATATTTTCTTACAGCAGCAGCAATTCGTATCTCTTGCTTAACAATATAGGTACAGACAAGGACATGTTTGCCAGCTACATCTCCTGTTCTTGTGTGGCTGCAATAATGCAGATTCAGGCCAGTGTCAAAGGATCAGACGCTCAGAATGAGGCAATCAAATATTTTGTCAGGATCATCTGCTTAAATATACTTTTTTTTTTTCTCTCCTCTGGAGACAAGATAGCAGGCCATATACAAGTATTCACCAGTCTAGATGTAACTCACAAAGCACCGTTTGAAGCATACTGATTTAAGGTCATAGAGCACACAGTAAAATATATATATATAGACAAGAAAAATTCATAAACTATATCAACCAAGCAAGAGTTCTCAAATAAGGAAAGCAGGAAGGAAACCTTTAATGAAATGTCGCCAGATAGTAATACACTTTGAAAAAGTGTATGTGCCAAGAAACCTCCATAGTTCTGCTAGTGTTAACAGAACTGCTGCAAAAAAAAGAAGCCTGAAGAGGCCATTTGCTTCTCTGAACAGTACCATTCAGATACTGGTAGGCATTCCTAACCAAGGGAGTCTTATCCACTCAGAAGCAACACGACATAATGCAAACTGTAATCAGAATAAAGATATAGTTGTCTTGCACATATGTGTGTGCGTTATACAGAACTGACAAATGCAGACACACATATGCAAACTTGTTTTTCAAAATCTCAATCTATGTGATTAATACAGTACCTCCTTTTCCCCTTCTCTTTGTCACCCTTTTACTGCGTGCCACTTACCTTGTAATTGCAATATCTGTGTGGACTCAAGGAAGAAATACTTTCCATCAAGGAGACAATACCTTAAAAATATTCTGCAGGGAGGTTGACAGGTAAAACAGACACTACTAACATCTAGATGGCCACAGATGGCCAATGTGATTAACAGTCTATTTTGAAGATTTTCTTCAGAAATATTTGATTAACAAAAGCCTTGAAATAAAACAATCCTACTGGAAGATTGTGCTACTTGCTAAATGCCCATTTCCTGCCAACACTAAATGTCAGAAAGGATGGTTGATAATATCACATGTAATTCACCCTGTTCAATATCATAAATCCCTATGCACCATTTTGAGAACACAACCTCTGATATATGAAAGGTAGTAAATTATGTCCCTATCACAGGAACCCAATGAATCCATTGGGAAGGATAAATCATTGGATGACACCTTAACCTTTCATTACAGGAGATACCATTCATCTATAGAAGGTTGTGCATATTTGGTTTATCCAGCGAGGAAGTGCAATGCAGCAGGCTGCATACACAAAAGAACATTCACTATATCTGCAGAGGATATATTTTGCCATCTAAATGTCTTTGAAGGTATCTTCAGATTTAACACTGGAATGGTAACTATATTAAGGCTTGCAAAGATCAAACACTTGTTTTAATCTAAAACAGAATACAACAAAATAAACAAGACATCCCTAAAATTAATGCCTTCCTGAATAATTTTTATAAGCTTTTTAAATTAATACAAGTGCCCCCAAACTTACACACACAAAACTATGGAATGCTTATTCTTTACTGCTTAAAAAATGCCTCCCACAGAAACTGACAATTTTTGAATGAGAAGATCTCAATAGGCTATGCATGGATGCACACAGAGCAGAGCCAACAGCAATTGTATTCTATCGTGTACTCAAAATGGATTCCTTGCAATTTGGTTATTTATGAAGATATTACATTTCTAAGAGATAAATGGAGTATGTTTAGAAAGTACCACTTTTAAGATTTTCCTGCATCTTGGAATCCATTTACATGGACAATTGTGAATGTCTGCAATGATCCTCCAATAGAATATGCCATTTGACATTACAAGCAGCTCATCTTGGTGTTTTTCAGCAATTCTAAAGGCATTTTCCAAACCTGACTGAAGTTCTTGGATATTTAACATTTTATGTGACTGCACCTATGCCCAATTTCAGTTCTAAGAGGGTACCCAAAAAATTTAGAGAATGGGTGACTTGGTCAAAATGTCCTGGCATTATCAATAGTGCCAAGAGTAGAATTCAAAATCTTCTGAATGCAGATTAAAAAAAAAACAAACAAGCAAACAAACAAAACAAAACAAAACAGCCTCATCAGCACATAATAAGACAAAAATAAAAGAAAAAAAGGCAGAGTAAGCAACAACAGCTGCTGGAGAAAGAGGCATCAGAAGGTTGTCTGGCTCTTCTCAAATCTATCTGACTAGCGCATTGGGATTTGCCAGACAGATGGCCATCCTACACAAACAGCAGGTAAGAATTTTCTCCAAATCACTGACTCTTGTGTGTTCTGTTTTGTTTTGGTTTTATGTAATTAAGTCACAGGTATGGTGGTAGTCACGACTGCCTCTGTAGACATTCTGTATTTCTACAGAAAAGCCTGTAAGCCATGAATCATACAAATCTTTAGTAAAAGATATCCCATGACAGAAAACAGTAAGAAATGGAGATCAGCCACAAAGTAAGCCATGAATTTACTAGAAAAGTAATAAATCAGATGGGGAATTACCATACCACTGAAAAGGTCTAATTATATATGCAATACTAAGGATTTTAGCATAAGCTATAACCTGTAAGCAGAAAACAATGTAAAGATACTTCATGTAAAGATATCTTGTGACATGGCCATTCCACCAACACAGACAGACAGGAACTTAGAATTAAGACCTGCGTTCCTTGTGATACAAAGCACATAAATGACAATTAACAGTGTGCTGTCAAGGAAGAACTGCAGCCTTACTCTACAGCCCTGTTTGATTACCATTGCATGGCAGTAACTGACCTCTCCTCTAACGTCTCCAGGCAGCCATGGCCCGACACATTCTACTTTACTGGGTTTCCTGACAACAGAGTTTTGCTCACACACAGAAGTTTTTTCCTCTTCCTCTTACAGTTCAAAAGATCTGTCTCCCTTCACTTTCTTCCCAAGGAGTCAGCTGCTCTTACCACTCACAGCACATGCTGAGAGGCCAGGTTTCCTCTTGCTTTGCACCACATCCCACCCTGTGCTAGGCTCAACCATGATCTGAAGAAACTCCCTTGGATTCAGAGGGGGCCCTGGCCTTCTCTGAAGAAACTGAAGGCCTGAAGAAACATCTGTAGTGCATGTAATAACACCAAAACCAGTATACCAGTACTTAAGGGAGGAAAGTGCCCAAATTCCAACTGAGTATCAGGGTCTTCTCTATGGTGTGAGCATTGTTATCGTACTAAGAGATAATAAAAATATGAAAAATAGGAGAGCTTTTTAAAGTCACAGTATTCTCATCTCCACATAAAATTTGTCATTCAAATATCCTAGGTCTACTTTTAGTTCCCCCAGATGAATTCAGTACTGAGATTATCTTTGTTTTCACAGCTGTTAAAAGTGTAGTTCCAGTCACACCTAGGTCTACTGAAAACCCAGAGATGCACTTACAGCCCAGCCACATCTTTGGCTGCATAAGCACACTGCCCACCCCAATAGCTTGTCCAGACACACCTTACCATGTACTAAGACTGTGCTTAGGCACATATGCTCTAGAGTTCTACTCTGAGGGTTTGACAAGTGAAACTGGTTTTCTGTGGACAGTCTTGAGACATCCTTCAATGGACTGTCTAGACAATTAAAACAAACACACTCACATGCTTTACTTAAGGCTATGTTTGAGTGCTGTGCTGAATTAGGCTGTGTTTGAGTGCTGTGCTGAATTCAGGTCAAAGCATCCATGGGCAACAAGAGGCTACAGGGTCAAAACTGTGAAAATTGAATATTCATAATAAAAATCACAAGTTCAAAGATGGTATGTTAAATTATTAATGTCTTAAAGGTCACTTAAGAGTTATCTGTGAAGACAAAAAATTCAGATCTCCTCCAGTTATTCAAAAAAATCAAGCACTGCAGAGAAAAACGTCATTATGATGAACCCAAACAGTACTTTCATAATGGAAAGCTCCATGAGAAAAATACTGAAACATTCTGTAA